CCAGGTGTCCCCAGGTGTCCCCAGGTGTGTCCCAGGTGTCCCCAGGTGTCCCCAGGTGTGCACAGGTGAGCTCAGGTGTGCCCAAATAACACCCAGGTGTGCACAGGTGTGTCCCCAGGTGTGCCCAGATAACCTCCAGCTGTGCCCAGGTGTGCACAGGTGAGCACAGGTGACACCACAGGTGTCCCCAGGTGTCCCCAGGTGTATTTTTGATGTCCCCAGGTGTCCCCAGATGTCCCCAGGTGTCCCCAGGTGTGTTTTTGTTGTCCCCAGGTGTCCCCAGATGTCCCCAGGTGTGCCCAGGTGTGTTTTTGTTGTCCCCAGGTGTGCCCAGGTGTCCCCAGGTGTGCCCAGGTGAGTTTTGGTGTCCCCAGGTGTGACCCCAGGTGTGTTTTGGTGTCCCCAGGTGTCCCCAGGTGTGTCCCCAGGTGTCCCCAGGTGTCCCCAGGTGTGTTTTTGTTGTCCCCAGGTGTGTCCCAGGTGTCCCCAGGTGTCCCCAGGTGTGTCCCCAGGTGTGCTCACCCTCCAGGCACATGGTGGAGAAGAAGGCGATGTTGCGGCTCTCCAGGTGAGACTCGTGGCTGCACTCAGGTGAGCGCGTCTGCGGCTCCGACTCCCCGGTCAGCGAGGAATTGTCCACCTGGGCCAGGCCCCGCCCACACCTGAGCCTCCAGCTGTGCCCAGCTGTGCCCAGCTGTGCCCAGGTGTCCCCAGCTGTGCCCAGGTGTGCCCAGGTGTGCCCAGGTGTATCCCAGGTGTCCCCAGCTGTGCCCAGGTGTGTCCAGGTGTGCCCCAGGTGTGCCCCAGGTGTCCCCGGGTACACCCCAGGTGTCCCTAGGTGAGTTTTTATCCCCCCAGGTGTGCCCAGGTGTGTTTTGATGCTCCCCAGGTGCATCCAGGTGTCTCTAGATGTGTTTTTACGCCCCCCAGATGTGTTCCAGGTGTGCCCAGGTGAGTTTTTATCCCCCCCAGGTGTGCCCAGGTGTGCCCAGGTGTGCCCAGGTGCGCCCAGGTGCGCTCACCTTGCAGCCCTGCGCCGCCAGGATCCGGATGTCGGCCGGGACTCGATCTCCACCTTTGATCTCCACCAGGTCCCCCAGGACCAGCTCGGCCGCGTTCACCTGCAGCGTCTGCCCCGCCCGGATCACCGTGGCTTGCTGGCACAGGTGAGAGACCAGGTGTGCACAGGTGTGCACAGGTGTGTCCCCAGGTGTCCCCAGGTGTCCCCAGGTGCCCCAGGTGCGCTCACCTGCGGGACCAGGTTGCGGAAGCTGGCGATGATGTTGGTGCTCTTGAACTCCTGGTAGTAACCGAAGCATCCGGTGACGACCACGACGGCGATGAGAGCCACGGCCAGGTACAGCTGCAGGTGAGGCCAGGTGAGAGCGGGCCTGGGCCCAGCTGTGCCCAGGTGTGCCCAGGTGTCCCCGGGTGTACCCCAGGTGTGCCCAGGTGTGTTATAACTGCCCCCAGGTGTGCCCAGGTGTGCCCAGGTGTGTTACAGGTACCCCAGGTGTATCTCGGATGTGTCCAGGTGTGCCCAGGTGTACCCCAGGTGTGTTATAACTGCCCCCAGGTGTGTTACAGGTACCCCAGGTGTGCCCAGGTGTGCCCAGGTGTGCCCAGGTGTGTTATAACTGCCCCCAGGTGTGCCCAGGTGTGCCCAGGTGTATCTCAGGTGTACTCACGTTGTCCGAGCTGCCCCGGTCACCCTCTCCCCGCTGCACGCCGTAGGCGGTCAGGCAGATGACCGCTGCCACCCACATCAGGCACTGCAGGCCCCCGGCCAGCTGCCGGCCAAAGCGCGCCCAGCCCGGCGTCCCCCGCGGCGGCCGCAGCTCGTTCCGGCCGTCCCGGAGGAGCCGCTCGGCCGCCACTGCCTCGGACAGACCCTGCAGACAGGAAATGG